ATTCTGATTTTGCTTTGCGTGAAGTTTTCCCACTTGACAGCTTAGTACTGCATTTTTGGGAAATTCTCCATTTACATCTTTCTGGATATAAGATAATCAAGATTAGGCACCACATTGAAGAAAAAAACCCAACAACTCTGTGTTTTAAACAACAGACAAATTTTAAACAAATTAAAGCAATTTCCACAGGTTTGTCAGCTCTCTCCTCCAGTCTGATCTTACTGAGTTATTTTGCAGGGCTACAAAGAGCTAAGGAAAATCTCACAACTGTGCCACTAATCCAGCATGAGACCTTCAAACCCTGCTACAAGCAGAAGTATTTAATTCAGAACTTCTTACAGTAGAGATTTTAGGGACCTCTCAGGATTATACCTAAATATGACAGCGTGCAGTGTAGGATGTTTATGTAAAACCCCTCTGTTCTTGGGTTATTTCTGGGTTTTAAGTTCTCCATCCTTCCCAGCCACTGGAACTGCCATGGAGCTTCTCCCTTTTTCACAGCAATGTTTGAAATCAGTTGGAAGAGCAGAAGCACTTCAGCCTATCAAAACCTGAGAATTCTGAAGCAGGTGAGGAGGGTCTGGAAACCCTCAGAGCACTGATGTTCTCCCCAACAGGCTTAACTTCTGACTCTGAAGGCATTCAGTGCTTCTGGCAGTGAAAAACTTCCCCAAATCCAAAGCAAAAGAGCAGCAGAGTCCTGCACAACTGGCTGGGACTTCATCCTACTCTGTTACTGCTCAGGAAGGTGCTCCAGAGCCTGGAGAAGACTTGGTTTAAGCTTGGTGAGACACTTCTACTCCTCCCTCTGCTCTGTCAGGGACCCTGCTGGACTCCCAGAGCATTTATCTCCCACTCTGACGAGCAGCCCCACTCATTCATCCTGCAGGAAGTAAATCTGTTGGTTAAAACCCAGTGCTGATGATGACCAAGCTGTGGATTCAATCCCTGGCTGGGCCCTTCACTCCATGATCCCTGTGGGACCCAGCTCAGGCTGTGATTCTGTGGAAGAGCTCAGCACTGAGCAGGTCACTGTGACCAAGGAGAGCTGTGAGAAGGTAAAAGCTGATCAGAAAATCTGCCTTGGGAACAAAAGCTTCTCAGGGGAAGAGTGCTTCCCATGTTTTGTGAGGAGAGCTTTCCTTTGTGCTGCCACACTTTCCAGAAACACACAGGAGGTGTGACAGTGCCAGGGGAGCTCAGGTTGGACATCAGCAGGAATTTCCCCATGGAAAGGGAGCTCAGGCACTGGAACTGCCCAGGGAGGTTTGCAGTGCCCATCCCTGGAGGTGCCCAAGGAATTCCTGGAGGTGGCACTGGATGCTCTGGGCTGGGGACAAGGTGGGGATTGGGCACAGCTCGGGCTGGACCCTGGAGGTTTTTCCCAAGCTGGATGCTCCTGTGTCCCTGAGGTGGCCAGGACAGGCTGGCAGAGGCCCTCACCCAGCGTGGCCAGCTGCTTGAAGTGCAGGCAGGCGTTGGGCTGGCCCAGCAGGTCCAGCCTGTGGTAGAGCAGTTTGCTGCTGGGGACAGTGTTGAGGTTCTTCAGCTGCTTCACAGGAATTTCTGGCTGGATCACCACCACACACAGGATGAAGGATGTGTCCTGCACCTGCACCAGACAGAACCAAACAGAATTTCTGTGTATCAGAGCCACTGAGTTCTACAAAAACCACTTTCCCATAGTTAACACAGAAAATAAAAACACTGTAATCCTGAAAACCAAACAAGATTTTCATTTTGTTGCTCAATTAGCAATAATTTCTAATTCTAACACTGTTTCATGGATATTTTTTGTCATTAACAGAGGAGAGGTTTCCAGCTGCTGGACACACACACTGTTACCTTCATGGAGAGTACAGACAAGTTAACTCTCAAATGCAAGATTTTATTATTTCCACTCTTAATTGTTTGCTGCATGTGCCACATATTTTACTGGTTTGGTATTTTAAGAACTCTAAATTACACCAGACCAGCAAACCTTGGAGTGTCCCAGCTGCTCTGCAAAGGGACTTTGGCATTAAACACAGCATTACAGTCTTAAAAAATCAGCTCCAGACATCTTCCTGTGTGAAATTCTGTTAAACAATGACAGATTTAATCTCTTAAAACTGCTCAGCTTAATCCTTTAGGTTGGATTTAACTTCATACTGTGAAATGATTCACAAGTACCTTCTTGAGTTTGTTGGCACAAAGCAACCAATTATTGCTGGCATCAGTGAATTCACCTGGATTATGTTTAACCTCAGATTCCATTTTAATCTCTGGGTTGAGATTAGTGATTAGATATTCCCAAACTGAAGGAAGGACAGTAGCAGAGCCATGAATTCCCACACTTGTTTTCCTCACCATTTTCCAGGCATAGCTGACGTTGTAGGCTTCTTTCCCAATCTCCCTCAGCTTGTTGACGTGCCAGGACAGCGAGGAGTTCACAGGAACTGTGATGATCTGGCTGCCCAAGGGAATGCTGCAGTGACAGATAAAACATCCAGCATTTTATTAAACACTGAGCAAAACTGTTAGGGCTTCAGCAAAATCCTTCTATTGTGTGTTTATATAATTATCATAAGAATTGAAGGAATGTTATTTGTGCTTGGTGAAGGAAAGCGTGTGTGTGTGTGCTGAAAATGCACTTTTTCATCTTAAAAATTCTCAGATTAGGCAAAGGATAAAAAAAAGCTCAGAACAAATAGTGGGAAATATTTCCTGAGTGGGAAGAGAGAGATTAGAAGGAATATTCCCCAGATCAGCTGGGAAACACTACAGAACAAATGACAATTGAAAAAAGTTGGAGGAAAAATCAAACCAGTATTGTTAAGGGGGAAAAAAAAAATCCATCCAAGCATCCAGATATTATAAGAACAGGATTTTTACCTTCTATACTTAAAATTCCTCTAGAAATGCTCCCAGTGCTGCTCATTTGGGAGCTGCATCCCCTCCTCACCTGAGGATGTTCTGGCGCACCAGCTCAAACTTGGGGATGTTCTCGTAGTGGATGATGTCTGTGTGGAGAGGGGGCTCAGACAGCAGGTAGGGCCTGGTCAGGGAGGGGTGCATCAGAGTGTACCCTAAAAAACAAACAAAATCCCAAATGTGGAATGCATTACAAAATTGAGCCTAGGATAGATATTTTAGGGGGAAAAAAGAATATATAAAATTACAAATTATTTTGGTGAAAATGGCAGTGACCAAACAATCATCAAAGGGGTTGCAAATGAAAACCAGCTTGAAAAAATCAGCAATAAAACAAGCTGGATCCGAGGTAAAGAGCTGGAAACACACATTAACATCAGTTTTCTGTCTTTCCCAGAAAACCTTGGATGCCACAGGTGTAGGAAACCCCCACAGAGATTGGAAGAGATTCCAAACCAGAACTCCAGGATAGAAGTTTCAAGCCACGAATCCACCTAAAATCTCCAGCAACATCCAGGCAAAACCAACCAACAACACGTGATTAAAGTTTTAATGAATATTATCATTCATTACTTAGAGACTGCTCAGAGATGTGAGAATTCAGAATTGGTGGGACTAGAGGAGATGATCTGAGCCCAAATTACCTTTATTATCGATGAGGAAGGTGTAGGATCCCAAGGAGTCCTGGTAATAGGTGACATCTTCCAAGATATAGGCAAGATTGACATCTACTCCAACAATCCCCAGCAGGAGGTTCCCAAAGTAACAGGGTTTGCTGACAGTCATTATCAGGCCTTGGAGGGAGAGAAACGCCATAAAACCATCAGAAATATCATCTGGTTAATGATTTTGAGAGGAAACAGAGCATTTTGAGATGTTACACAGTTACATTTTATTTTTGTTCCATGCTGGAATACGGCCAGGGAAGCTCAGGAGAGTTTCTGTTGTGTCTGGCTGCTGTCAGCCACTCTCCTAATAAATTAATCTGGGTTTCTGTTGGTCACCTGAATTTATTAGAACACACCACCATTGATGTTTGTCAGTCTCCAAGTGGGCTCCTTATAGATAAAAAATTAATTTGTGTGGAAAGCCAACAGAGTTCCTTTAACAGAATGTAGGACCATTAAAAAATAGGATGGGAGAGGAAGGAAATGACTTTGTCCTTGTAAAGAAGCAGTTGGGATGAGCTGTTACTCATCTAATGCATAATCAGAGTATTAAATCTCTGCTAAACTAAACCCCAGTATTGCCACTGTGCTGGGAATCATATCCATAATTACCCAACAGTTTGGGATTTATCTCATCCCTGAGGTGAGAATTCTGCAACTTCTTCTTGCTCCTATTTTCTCCACCACTGTTTGGAAACTCAGCAGCTCTTCCCTCACCCCAAGATCAAATTCATTTGCATGTACAATGAAATACTCTGAAATCCACATAAGACAAAGCTCTCTATTGCACCATTCCCAATCCTTTGCTGCTCACATTTTCCATTGGCTTTGGGAGAGAGCAATAACTGAGTGTAATCACCGAGGGAGGGAATGCAGGAAGGAGCAAAAGCTCAGACTCAGATTTGCTCAGGAACAGCTTTAAATTCAGTTTGGGTCTCAGAACAGTCCAGGTGTGCTGAAGCCAAAGAAAGGCCGAGGGTGGCCAGCTTGGGACAATAATTAACAATAATTAACAATCTCTCCTTGTGCCATTTGCCAGGCTGCTTTTATCCTGCTCTTACACAGGGCTGCCGTGGATGCCATTCCAACCTGTTTCCCTGCAGCACAAAGAATTCCTCTCCACAGATTAAATTATGGATGTTGTGTATGAACTCATACATAGGAACAAATTCCACCACAAGAATCCAAATTAAATCTGTCGACTCCGTGTCTTGTCACCACTTCTTTCACAACCAAACCTTCTTCAGATGACAATGGTACAGGCAAAAACCAAAATCTTGCAGGACACTAGGGTGTATTTGGGGATGTGAAAGCCAAGAGAAGAAGCTGATCTCTGATGGTTTCACAGCACTCACCATCCCCCATCTCATCCGAGAAGGGCAGGCTGAACACGGCCTCATCGATCATCCTGTTGGGCAGGTTTGTGTAGAACCTGCCCACGGTGGTCTCCAGGTTGCTGAGCTGGTTGAGGACCATCATGCTGCCCTTGGTGACGGGGAGGGCGCTGCGGTCGGGCACGCCGTACTTGGCCGAGTTCTGCTCGGCCAGGTCCCGCAGGAAGGCCAGCTCCTTCAGCCCTGTCACCCCCTCTGCCACGCAGCAGGGGCACAAAACACGAGCAAAACAGACAAAACAAGCTTCATTTCCATCCAGGCTCCTGCATCCTGCTCCAAGGGAACGAGCCCTACTCTGTACTGAAAATTCTATATTCTTATTTAAGTGCTTAAAGATCGGTTTGAAGAAAATTAATTACCTAACACCAAATTTAATGAGATTGCCTCTCTCCTACTGTTGCACAGTGCAAAAACTGGCCATGCTGTTCACATCCCCACTTGAAACAAAGCCCTTGGAACAGAGAGTTGTGTGCCCCATAAATCCACAGGACAGCTCTTTGTTCTCCACCGGTGGCTCGCCCACAGGAGCGAATCCTCTGCCCTGGGAGATAACAGGCTTTGTTCTCCAGCTGAATCATTCCAGTTTCACACTTCACTCAAGTCCCAGCCTCAACTCCTGCACACAAATCAAAACCTTTTGCACGCCCCAGTCTCAAGGGAGTATTTAAATTTACAACCAAATCATACATTAGGTTAAGCATTCACTTCCTTGGCTATTTTCAGTAATACAACGAACTGCCTTTGTGCCAAAAATGGGGTTTTTTTTTGGAAAATGAGGGGGTGATCTTCATGTTTAACTTCACTCCTGGATTGGTTTCCAGGTTATCAAAGCACTTCAGATTTGGTCTGATCTCCCATTCACCCTCCCTGGCTGATGGAGTCACATTTAGTCCCAGTTTGCTGCCCCTCAGAAAGGTTTGCAACTGCAATTATTAATAAATTTAACTCAGTCTGGACAATCCAGGTCACAATATTTTATATCCCTGCAGCTGCACTGGGATACACAAGGATAGAGTGGCACAGTTATAAACACCAAAGTGACAACATCTGGATGCAGCTTCTGCTTAAATGTGCCAAAATCCGTGAACAAACTGCTCCCAGTAAGGCCTGGAATTAGCCTGGAATGAGCTTGATAAACGAGCTGTGCCAGGAAAGGGAATTTTATGGCCTGGAAATCACAACCATCTCTCACCATTCATGAGGGCATAAGTGAGGATCATCACTGAGTTATTGAGGAAGCTGTTTTCTTCGTTGATGACACGCAGAGTGGCTTTTTTATCATCTTCTGAGGAGTCTTTTGATGTGATCCCGGCCGAGAGATAAATGATGACCATGTCAGTATCTGAAACACAATCACAAACACAGCACAAAGGTTTGAATTCGGGTGAGAGCCCTGAAATCTGCTCACAGCAGCTTCATCCAGGGATCCCCAGCATCTCCAGGGGACAAACACACTGCAGCCACATGGATTCCAGCCTCTGGTGTTCAGGCTGCTCTCTTGGCACTCAGCAAACTCCTGTTTGGTTTGGTGCCTGTCGGCCACCCGGGAGCACTGGGGCTTCTTCTCCTGAGCAAACCCCACAGGCACCTTCTGCCTCTGGAGTCATGGAATGGCTTGGGTTGGAAAGGACCTTAAACCCCATCCAGTCCCACCTTCCACTGTCCCAGGCTGCTCCAAGCCCTGTCCAGCCTGGCCTTGGGCACTTCCAGGGATCCAGGGGGAGCCCCAGCTGCTCTGGGCACCCTGTGCCAGGGCCTCCTCACCTTCCCAGGGAACAACTCCTCCCCAAGATCCCATCTAACTCTTCCTCTGGCACTGGGAGCCATTCCCTGGGTCCTGTCCCTCCATCCCTTGTCCCAAATCCCTCCCCAGCTCTCCTGGCACTTCGGCCTCCCTGGATCCTTCTCACCTCCAGGCTGAGGAACTTGGCTGCCTCCAGGCAGGAACACACAGATCCAGCTCCTGGAACAGCTGCTCCAATTCCATGGAAAAGGCTCCACAAGGTAAAAACCTGCACTTTTCATCTCCTGCCCCTCTGTTCTCCTTCCATCCTGCAATCCTAAGGCATGGAGCTGCACAAGCTGCCCTCCCATGGAGCAGGGCAGAGCAGAAAGCTTGGGAACGTCACCTGGCCCCTGATACTTTCCCTGGAACACGTTTTTCAGGCTGAGGATGTTCCTGGCCAAAGCCCTGCCCCAAAGCCTTTGAACACAACAATTCACAGTCCTGTGCTTACTCCCCAGCCTGCCCCATCACATTTATCTCAGGATTGAGAGTGGTTTGTGTTTATAATGAACACAGAGTAAACCCAGAGCGCTGGGCTGACGTGGCCACATCCCAACTTTCTTGTTTCACCTGGATTTTTGGTGGATTTGCTGTACTGGTTTATTAAATAGGTATCAATGCTTTGACTTGCACATTTTGTCCTCATGACTTGACCAGAATTTCAGTCAGAACCAGATTTTGACACAAACAGGAAGTGCTGTTAATTTGGGGGAATTTCTACCTTAGTTTTTTGTAAGAGCTAAAAGTAGGAAAAAGAGCAAAGCCAGGTATTAAAGCAGCTTTGGGTGAAGTTTAAGGACAATTGTTGCTGTGTTTCCAAGGCTACAGCAGGGATATTCTATCTGCAGCCAGCCATGGTGCTGCAGCCTGGATGCACTGACAAGAGCCAGTCCTAAATCTGCATCAGGGACCAGAGCAAGCAGCTTTTGGAACATTTTGTCACCTTTGGGGATGAGGATCTGCTGAGCAGGACTGCAGTAGGAACTGAAGCAGAAAATCCAGATGAACAGCACAGCTCTCCCATCTCACACCAGCAGTTCCCTTCTGGATTTGCCAGTGTGAATTTGGGATTGAGGCTGTATCTCAACAGCTTCCCTGACACACCCACACATTGTTCTCTGGGAACAGGATGTTAGAAAATTAACAGTGAAATGAAGGAGGTGGGGTTTTTTTTTTGTGGGTTTGTTTGTTTTTTTTAAAAAAAGATGAAAAGAGTATTTACAAGAAAATGAGACATGTTTTATAAACATCCTCTTCTCAAACCTATTGTGTCTCACACCAGGAATTCTGAAATTCCTTATAAACACTTTAGATCTTCACAATCTTCCACATGTAGAGAAAACCTAAATCCAAACATTTGCATTTTAACTTTCTGTGCTTGTGCCCCAAAAGGGTTGTTTCATATGAAACCTAGTAAAGTATGAATATGCCAAAACTTCTGGTGATAGTAGAAAACAGTGCCAAACACAAAATCATGGAATCCTGGAATGGTTTGGGTTGGGAGGGACCTTAAAGCCCTTCTCATCCCACCCTTGCCATGGGCAGGGACACTTCCCACTATCCCAGATTGCTCCAAGCCCTGTCCAAGCTGGCCTTGGACACTTCCAGGAATGGGGAATATGCAGGAGGATGCTCAAAGACTCCTCAGCTGATGTTCTTGGAATAATTCCTGATGACAAATTCATCCCAGCCAGCTGCATTGTTTATTTTGCATTTGCTGGAGTTGCTCCCCATCATCATTTTGGCAGAGGATGGTAAATCCTGCCCTTGCCAACCTCATCCTTTGTCCAGTCACACAAAGGCTCCCTGTGCCAGTGGCCTGAAGCTCAGGAATGGGCTGAACCTTTGGTAGCAAAAGCACCATCCCATAAACCCAAGGAATGCAAGGGTATTTCCTCATTCTTTCCAAAGCACTTCAGTTCCTGGACTTGTCCTGTCTCTCTGGTCCTGCTCAGCCTCTGAGCTCTCTGGGACACTGCAGGATCTGCTCTCCCTGGAGCAGGCACAGGGCCAGGCTGTGGGAATTGTGTTACATAATCCCAGTATCCCCATGGAGAGGGGCTGTTCCCTCCACCCTGCCATGGCACTGCTGCTGTTCCTCAAATCTGAGGAGCACTCAGAGTGCAGAATTCACCTTCCACAGCTTCCTCAATTTCACATCCATCTTTTCCATGTCTTTCACCACATCCTCATTACAAAAAACGCCCAGAAAAAACCCAAATCTTGGGAAGGGGAGGGATAAAGTTCATAATGAGCACCCAGAGTTCAGGGGGGGTGTTCTGAGGTGAAGGAAGATTTTGCCAGGACAGCTTTGTGTTCCACAAAACATCACCCATAATTGGTATTCTCAAAAGAGCCATTTCCCTGGGAAGCAAGGGCTGCTTCCCCAGGATTCCAATCAGGCACATCATCCATATGCAAATGAACCAGCAATCATTAAATGAACCTGCAGAAGCTGCAATTTTCCTGGAAAAGCTCCCCCATACAGACTGGGGAAATAACTCAGCTATCACACAGATCAATCCTGCATTTTCCTCTTTCAGTTCAACAGAAAGGCAAGGCAGCAAGTGACACAAACGAGAAGGGAAAGGACACATCCAGCAATCCCTCACGAGGATTGCAGCCCAAGGAATCGCTCCCTAAAATAAAAATACAGGGGACAGAGCACATTTTTGTTAATATTCAACACACTCCACTCCCTTGGCCTCTACTGAAGTGAGAATGTGAAATAAGAAAACATTGGCTGAAATAAGCAGGCTTGCACAAGAGGCTGGCTTACTTCCTTGGAGCCTGGTGCCGTTGTTGGTGTTCCGGAGGAGCTGGAAAGCTTTTTGGAATCCCAGGGCGTGCTGTGTGGAGCTGTCAGAGGCTTTGATGCTGCTGACAAAGGTGGACATCTTCCTCTTGGTCTCGCTGGTGGCAGGGGACAGGAAGGTCTTGTAGCACTGGTCCAGGGAGCACGTCCGCACCGCGTCCGCCACCGTCAGCACCGAGATCTGAAGGGAAGAGAGAGATTCCATGGGATCACCTCCCCTGGAGGGCTCTCTGCACACCCAGACACACCACACAGGGAGAAGCCAGCTGAGCAGATCCCATGGGTTTCAAAGTGGATTGTGGGGAAAGAAATGCTTCAGGCATAAATCTGTTGAATTTCAAAGGGATTGTGGGGAGTTTGAGGAAAAGAGATTTTGGTATTTGGTTCTCAGAGGAGTCACTCTGCTCCCTCACAATGGGTAATGCACTGCTCTGGGCAGAGCCTGAGTGAGAACTGACAGGGAAATCAGCAGAGAGCATTTTCAGGAAAGCCTGGAGAGCCCAGAGAAATGAAAAAAAAAATAACCCCTCTAAGGACCCCTCCCTGCAAAGCTTTTTGTTGTTTTAACGTTTCAGTCAAAGCAAGACCACTCTGACATCAGCTTTTCCTGTAAATAAGTTAATGCAAGTGTTACCACTATGCCTTAATGACATCTAACACAGCAGGCTCATTAACTGAGTGACAAACTTCATTAGGGAGCAAGACTGAGGCAAGACAATCACAGAATTAAGCAGTAATTAGATACCTGTGTAACAGGTTCTGTACCCACTGAGCTACTGACCAAGGAATAGGTGTCTTAAATGTATTCTCTATTCCAACACAAACCCTTCTGACACTTAAATTTAAGTGCTGTTAATCCTGCTGAACTGTAAGATTGCTTTACCACATTAAATCTCTACAAAAGCACAAAGTTACAAGTGGTTTTCTCATACTATTCATGAGAATACTTAAGGCAAAAGATTATCATCTGTTTTCTTCAATTCAACTGAAACTCTTCCTACTCACAAAAGAAAACCCAAGCAGAGAGACTGATAAAGGTCTCACCAGTAGAGAGTTACTAAAAGTTAAGACCAAAATGGAGACTTCTTACAGAAGCATCTTATGGGTTTCTGGTTGTCTCTACTGAAAAAAAATTACAGGTTAAGTGATTTTTTCACTGTCAAATGACAGGAAGAAATCAAACCCAGATTTCGCAGCCCTTTGCTGCCACCATAATTATCTGTGAATCTTCCAAACACTAATTATGCTTCAGCTCACCCCAGTACTGCAGGAGAATACATAATTTCCACTTTCATAAGACAAAA